AGGAAAACAGACCTTATGATGACAGGCTGAGCTCTTTAGCCTGGAAAAGCGCAGGCTCTGGGGTGATCTGGTGGCCACCTATAAGTTTATCAGGGGTGACCACCAGTACCTGGGGGAATGTTTGTTCACTAGAGTGCCCCAAGGGATGACGAGGTCGAACAGTCATAAACTACTACAAGACCATTTCAGGCTGGACATAAGGAAGAATTTCTTTACTGTCTGAGCCCCCAAGGTCTGGAACAGTCTGCCATCGGAGGTGGTTCAAGCACCTACATTGAACACCTTCAAGAGCAAATTGGATGCTTATGTTGCTGGGATCCTATGACCCCAGCTGACTTCCTGCCCTTTGGGCGGGGGTCTGGATTTGATGATCTTCCGAGGTCCCTTCCAGCCCTAATGTCTATGAAATCTATGAAATATATGTTTTTACAGGAGATATTGTATGTATTGCACTAGTCTTGGGATCTTGCCATAAACTCCTAAAATTGACAGATTTTTTTTTTTTAAATCTGACTTCTTAAAATCAACCTGTGAGGACTATTTTTTTCAGTTTTGTTCTACTTTTTCCCTCCCTTATATCTTCTGTACAAATGTAATGAAAATTATTATGCCATACAATTGAGTACTAAGTTTGTACTTCATGTCGACATGCTGTTTTTTTCATGGAAATGTTTACTTTGTTTTTTCACTGCAATGACTGATTCAGATTTCTACTGCCTCTCTCAGATTATCCTTTCCCATGGTGCTGTGGCTGACTGCGCTGTTGTGGGCCTAGAGGATGCTTTGAAAGGTCACGTTCCATTAGCACTGTGTGTATTGAGAGATGGTGAGAGTTCATTTCTCTTTATTGACTTACATCTGGTGTCAGTGAGATTGTATAATATTGCTTAATAGTAAAAGCTTTTGCAATTTCTCATCAGATGTAAAGATGGAAGAAGAGAAACTTTTGGAAGGGATTGTTAAATGTGTTCGACAGAACCTTGGTCCTGTGGCAGCCTTCCAAAAGGCAGTGTTTGTGAAACAGATACCAAAGACACGTTCTGGCAAGATACCACGTTCTGCTCTTTCTGCCCTTGTCAATGGCAACCCATATCAGGTAAACTAGAGGGGCTCTTTATCTAATGAACTGACCACATCTTTTGATTCTTAAATTGTTTTGTTGTTGGCTCCAGTTAACCTGCATTGCTGCTTCATTCTGTTGTTTTGCTTTCCATTTATATTTTGCCTTCACAATCATCATGTCCAAGTCCTGAATATTTTTGTTCTTGATTACACCTCTGCAGTTGAGGTGTTTTTGAATGAACACATCTACCATGCAGTTTGGTAATCCACTATCATATATTTGTGTACACTCTTTTCTTACAGATAACACCGACCATTGAGGATCCTCATGCATTTAAACATATAGAAGAAGTGCTGAAGAACAAATAAAAGTAACTGTTGTCCATCTTATAGTATATTGTACTAACGAACCTCCTAATGAACTGAATTTATAGAGTTTCTATTCAGCAACACAAGATATTTAAAAATCTGAAATAATCTGGGGCTGTTTTTTACTATAAAGCTGTTACTGTATTCTTTATCATGGACAGCAAAATATACTGAGTGTATAGGAGGGACATTTTTATTTTACTGGATGTTGAGATGTTTAACTATGCAATGGCAAAGAGTTTTAACAGCATCTTGGAAGGAAGGTCCATGAATTCATATATTTTAAGGCAAGAAAGGATATTAGATCCTGTAATCTGACTTCTTTAATCACAGGCTCTTGAATATTGCTTGGTGCCCCATCACTTGTAATTTGTATTTGCTTAAGGCATATCTTTGGAAAAGCCTCCTAAATCACTTGGATTTAAAAATATCAAGAGATGGAGAATCTACCACGTAACTTGGTTGTTTTGTTGCAATAGAAAATCACCCTTGGTGTTAAGAATTTGTTCCTTATTTTCAGTGTAAATGGTCTGATTTCAGTTATTTTTGTGGCTTTCTCTGGCAGGTTAAAGAGACTTTAGAATGCTGTTTTTTTCAGTGAAGGCTCTTATACACTGTACTCAACTCCCCTCTCAATCTTCTTTTTGATCAGCTTAAATGCATAAGCTTCATAAGCCTCACTGATAGGCATTTTCTCCAGCTCCGAATAATGTTTTCCAGTTCCCTTTCCAGTTTCTCAACACCCTATTTAAAATATGGACGAAAGAACTGTCACAGTATTGTAGTATCCATCTCACTAATGCTGTATGCAGAGGTAAAATCACCCCTGATTACTCCTCCTTGCACAATTACCCTCTTTCCATGTCATCCAACTGAAAGGTCATTTTGTGGCTTTTGTCCACTATAACTCCTAGATTATTTTCAGAGACTGCTTTCCAGTGAGCTTTGCATTTGGCTATGTTAAAATATATTTTGTTCAAAATGGTTTACCAGTTTACCAGGTGCTGCAAATCATTATGTATGCCTACCCTTTTCTCCTCACTATTTAATCTTCTGCTGCTCCTTGTGTCATCCCCAGATTTTTATCAGAAATGATTTCAAATACTGGATTTCCAGATAATGGATACAACTTGTAGAATTGTATCCAAATTAGTTTTTTTACCTCTGCTGAATTTTGTTAGGATCACCACTTTTTAGAGGGTGCACCATTAACAACTATTTTTAAATCTACCAAATAGCTGGTTCTTATCCTAGTTAATTGTTAACATGTGCTTCATTGATTTTATGTAGTGCCAATTTTTTAATCACCATGTCATGCACTAAGTCAGTTATCTTACATCATGCTGTTAGATCTAAGCTGCTACCTTTATTAACCAAACTTGCCATCTTATCAAAGAATAAAATTAAGTTTGTTTGGCAGGACCTATTCTTTTTCCATAAAATCATTATAATTGCATTAATTACATTTCTGTGCTTTCATTCTTCATCAATTGAATTTCATATCACCTGTTCACTGTTTTGCCAAGGACTGACATTAACCAGCCTGATTTTCACTCTTGGTACATTTAGTACTGTTTTAGTTTTCTAGAACTTCCCCAGGATTCCAAGATTAAGAGTTTACATCAGTGGTCCAGTGATTTCATCAGTTAGCTCTTTAAAGGTTCTTGGGTACCAGGTTAGGCTGATATACAAATATGCATCTGTAATGGATGATTTTAACATCCTCCTTTATTACTGAGAGAATAGAAAGTACTTTTATCATCTCCAGGGTGTACAAGCATCTTGTTCTGCTTTTTGCAAACACACAATAGAAATATTTTTGACTATTCTTCCCTTCTGTGCATCATTAACAATATCAACATCCCTGCCATTAATAGGGATATGAAATTCCTGGATTTCTTTATTCTAATAAACTTGAAATGTCCCCTTTTTTAGTGTCTTTAGCCCTGCAAGTCATAGTTGTTTTCTATGTCTTTAGGTTTCCTTACCAATTTATGTTGTACAACTTTTGAATTAAATCAGTTGCTTTTTTGTTTCCTCTTTTCCCCCATTATATGGAATTATATTTAACTGGTGCCCTCACTTTGCTACTGAATCAGCATGGGTTTTTATTCAAAGTTGTTCTTTTTTCTTGCTTCTGGGATTGCAGCTCTTTGACCAAAATGTTTGTGGTGGAAGATACTCATTTGTCTATTTCTTACTTTAAGATTATTTTACAGTTGAGAGAGGAAAAAACTCAAAGCCTTTTAAGACCATATGTCTTCCTAAATATTGCAGCTATAGCTCATACAGAAGCTTTGTGCAGTGATTTCTTCGATTTGACTTGCGTGGCTTTCTTTGGTTTGTGTTATACAGGAGGTCAGACTTAGGCTTCTGGCCTTAAAGTATATGAAAATCTGTTTATGACTCACCCTTGATTTATTGTTAATTGTAATAGTGTTGAATGAAAAACTATGATGTGGAAACTTGTGTTAAAGATGGACCATCTGATTACACTCTGAATTTGCTGACCTCCTTAATTTATGTCATTCTTATGAAAGGGATAACCAGCTAGTATCTGTCTGTACTGTTGCCATGTAACCACATCCTTCAACCTCATTGTGACCTTATATGACCAAAGAGTTAATAATGCAGCTATTAGAGAGCCCATTCCTGCAAGGTGTTCCAGAGTGCTGAGAGTTTGCTTGAGTGACTTTATGCTTTTGGGAGATCCTTAGGTGTTAAAGAGGCTCAGCATATCACCAGACGGATTCCATACCACTGTAATTTGCTGCTTTACTGTCAGGTAGTATCTTTTCACTGCATGATGCATTTAATAACTTGCTATTCTTTTTAGATACAAAATATACAGAACATCAGGGGAAAAGGTTTTTAGAAAGCAAAACAAGGGAGTCACTATATATTAGTGTCTCCAGTCACTTTCCTGTTCTCCACACTCAAAAAGAATACTATTAGACTTAAAGAATATTTATATACATAATGAGAGCACCCATTGTTTTTTTCAATCACAATATTTTCTTAAAGGCAAACATCCAGAAAGACTGGTGTCACCTCCTGAGTAAAGGCATCAGATGCTAGAACTATTGACACATGCATTTAACACAACAGTTAATTTTCATGGCCAAATAAAGTAACTGACAGGCTATAAGGGATTGGAAGTAGTGAAGAATAATTAGGGTGATTCCCATTCAAGTGCCCTGCTGGGCTATGAGCACTTTTCAGGGCTGGAGTCATAGGCCATGTTGTCATGGCACTGTCAAATACACCATGCAGCACTTTGTATATGATTCCCCACCTCCTAAACAGAAGCAGTGTAACCAGACTGTGTAGTTCTAGGGCAATGTGGGTAAGCTAACTGGCATTGTCACTTGGCAGTAGCAATTAGCAGGGATCTGGGTTTTCTATTTCTCACAAAAAAATGGAGAAAACCATGGATTTCCCATTTTTTATCAGAGAAAACAGGATTTCACCTTTTAACAGAGTAACCTGTGGATCTCTCACTTTTGCAAAAAGCTCTTTCAGGCTGGCTGAGTTCCAGCCTGCAAGAGCTGATTAGAAAAAGGGTGGAAAAGCCCCAACCCTGCCTGGAGGGGGAGGGAGAGGAGGATGGGTGGGGCCTGAGGGTTTTAGTCAAGTCTTGGGTAAGGCTATATTTCCTTCTGGAGCCTGTGAAGTGGTAAGTGGGGCTTGCAGGGGGCTGGGGGGTTGCCAGGCAGGGCTGGGGGAGAAGCTGACTGGGGGTTGAGAGAGTGGGGACGTTTGCAGCTGGCTGGGAGCTGGGGGGGCTTTGCAGCCAGTTGGGGTTTTCAGCTGGGGGGTTTAGAGCCAACTGGGAGGTTTGCAGCTGGTTGGGAGCTGGGGGGGTTTGCAGCCAGCTAGAGATTTGCAGTGGGTTGGGGGGTTTGCAGCTGGCTGGGAGCTGGGGGGTTTTGCAGCCAGCTGGGAGGCTTGCAGCAGCTGGGAGTTTGGGGGGGTTGCAGGAGTTGGGGGAGGTTTGCAGCCAGCTGGAAGAAGGGGTTTTGCAGCCTCCCTGCCAGAGTGCCTGGCCCACTGCACATGGAAACCAAGTGGTGCTGTCGGGCACCGAGCTTGGCTCCTCCATATGTGGCTTCCCTTAGGAGCCAATAGCACGACTCACAGTCCACATGCAGTCGGCCCAGGGGACACTCCACATCTTCATCCTACCCCTCCCCACTCCCTTTGCCCCAGGCAGCTCCCACTGGGAGTGTGTCCAGTGTCCACACATGCTTGCACGTACAGATGCATACATACATGCACACCCATAGATGTGCACATGGGTGCATACACATGTACACATGCACAGATGCACACATGAAAGAGGGGTACCAGGAGGGCTGGGGAGCCTGTAGGGGTGAGTGAGGGACACTAGCAGCACCAGGGGGGCTGTGGAGGGCCTTTAATCATGGATTTTGGGAGTTTTATCAGATAATTTGCAGTTTTTTTATCAGAGAAAACCGGGATCCCTGGTAATTAGTTTGCTCTCTGCACTGCTTAGAGGTAGCTTATCCTGTTTCCAGTTGGTGGGGAGAGGGTCATTGCCTATTAGGGCTGTGCGAAATTTCAGCAACTGTTTTGCTTCAGAGGTGTTTTGGCCCATTTTGGCACCCAAAACACCAAATCTGAAATGAAAAGAAAGGCTCCAAAACATCTCCAAAATTAAACAAAACCATCCATAACGTTTCGGAAATGTTTTGGATGTTTAGGAGCTGGGCTTGCAGGGAAACAGAAACTAAGAAGAGGGAGGGGGGAAGAGGGGCAGAAGGACTGCTCTGATGTTGATATCTGTAGCTGACCAGTATCTGTGAGCTGTCCCTGAGTGCTCTGGGAGAGGGATTACAGCCTGCTGTCATCCTGTGTGCAGATCTGAGGGGCCGTGTCCTCTGGGAGGAGTCTGGCACAGACCCGCAGCCCTCCTTGGGGGCGTGGGCCCCCAACTCTGCATGCAGGATGACAGTAGGCTGCTGCTGCCAGCTGGGGCCAGTGTCAGCACCCGAGTCTGCTCAGTGCAGCCTGCAGTGAGCACAGCCGGGGGACATGCAGGAGAAGCCCACATGGCTGCTCAGCCTGGCCACATTCCCTGCCCGGCCTACCAGCGCTGGACCTGTGCCATGCGACAACTGCTGTGTGGGTGCCAGGTAAGGGGGGCGATCCCCACTGCCCCGCACTGTGCAAGGGGGCTCTGCCATGAGTGTCCAGAGGCCCCAGTCGCCACTCCTGCAGCCAGTGAGTACGGGGCTTTTTTTTTTTTTTTTTTTTTTAAGTGCCAGGACTAGGCGGGGGCCGGGGGGGGGGGGGTGCCAGGCAGGGCAGCCATGGGGGCTTCTCCTGTGACTCCCCTTGCCCAGGGAGAGGAAGACACAGCTGGAGGAGCTGTGGGAGAACCTGCAGCCACTTGGCTGTGCCTGCCTCTCCCCGGCTGATCCGAATATCTGAAACAGCATTGAAACTCCGAACAGATTCGGCTGAATTGAAACAGAGCAGTGATCCAAAGCACTGAAATGAATAGCTTTCCTCTGAAATGGCTGAATCCAAAATCGAAATGAGAGACAGCCATTTTCCACAGCCCTATTGCCTATGCTGCATGCATGTTTGAGGGTGGTGCTGCTGGGCATGGGAAGCTTACAAGCTTACAGTATGGATTTTCCTCAGAGTTTCATCTTCTGCAGACAGTCTTGAACCAAATAATGCATTAATGAGCTTGGCACCAAATACAATGGAACAAACTACTATATTTATTACATAGAATGAGCAGAGTCGCATATCCCATAGTAATTCAGGCTGTTTGAGTCCATAATATATTTAATGCTTGACCAGATATTCATATCATAAAATAGTCATCCTGCAGTGGTGGTCGTTCTGGGAGAAGCCGGACAATACACGCAGGGCCAAGCTGCAGGGCTATTCTCTTGTGTTAAGACATCAGAATAGGGTGAAATAAAACTTAAGTGAGGGCTAAGTTTATTGCACCAGGTTTGATTTTTCCTTCATGAGCAGAGTTAGGGTACACAGTCGCATAGTGTAGCTCATGTGAGTGATGTCTTTCATCTGAGTAGTAGAATTACTCATCTGCACTACTGCTTGCAGAATCTGATGCTTATTTTTTTCCAGTTTGGTTATCCAGTTACCATTTTGTTGCTTTGTAGATGTTCTGTTGTAGTTACCAAGACATTAAATATCATTATGAACATTTATAGCTTTGGAAGGAAGACACAGATGTTCTATGGAAAGCTCTAGTGTTGTCTGCCTTCATTTCATTAATGAACATTAAATCAAGTGATCTGCCTAATGCAGAGGGAACAAAGAGCTACTGGAGCTTTCCTTCTCCAAAGCATGTAAGCTTGGAGTTGCACACATGCTCAAAACTTAAATTACTGGCGCTGACTTTAAAACTAGAGGATTCTACAATGGACGTAGCAGCTGTAGGTAGAAGCCAAGAGCCTTATTCTCTGTTTTTCCCTTTATCTTGTTACTTATATTTGTGCAAAGTTCATACAAAATGCTAACTAATCAAGTGCTGAATACTTTTCTGGTTATGCAAAATTCACTATTATAAGCAAGATTTTGCCTTTTCTTTGTTCAATCAAATAAGACTGTCTTTGTGTGGTATTAGATATGCAGGTATTTTATCATGGGGACTGGAGAAACATTCAAGATTTGAACGTCAATTGCTTTCTGGTGTAATAAAAGTAAAGGATGTTTAAAAGTATTTTATATTTTGATGGAGTATTTGTCAAATAATGTTTCTAAAGTGTCATGCAAAAAATCCATGAGAGGGAAAAAGAAAAGCCTTGTGAGTAAAACCTTGTGAACAAGAATTCAGGGGCCCAGGGCTCATTTTGTGGATCCATCCATCTGGCAATTCCCACTCCATTTTCCCCCACCAGAAAAATAGGAGTGTAATCCCTTTCTTTCTCTTTCTTATCTATTTCCAGCTCTTTGGGGTGGGACTGTCTTGTACCATTATATGTACAGCTCCTGCAACTGTATGCAATCTGTTTTCTATCTTTCCAGACCTCCTTGAACTTAAAGATCTTTAGAGAGGGAATTTGGTCAGACTGGCAATTGGATTTGTATCTTTTCATCCTGGAAAGCTAAACTAGATATTTCTGAGCTTTGTATTGAAAAACATCATCATCATCTGGCTTTGAGTGCTTTATGTGAGCAGATAAACCCTTTAATGGATATAAACATTCAAGCACCAGGCCCTAGGGTAGAATCTGCAGCCCTGAATTAGATTTCATATACAGTGAATGAAGCAGAATGAGATCTAAAACAACTAGTGCACCAAGAAGAGAGCTCATCTAGAGCATGAAACTCTGAGCACAAGGGTGTATGTATATTCCCTGGGGAATGTCTGTGCCACGTGTGCTCTGGTGCATTGCAAGTTACCCTGGGTAGAGTAAGGGAGGCTGGGGCTAGCACTGTTCTGGCCCCAGCAGCCTTACCTGGGGTCCTGGGGGCCTCCCTGGGCTGCAGCAGTGGCAGTCCTACCACTGGGAGCTGGACCAGCAGCGTGGGTCTGGCTGGCCAGGCTTGTTTTGAGTGGCACATGCTGCCCCCATGTATGCTGCTCTGCTTTTTTTTTTTTTTTTTTTTTTTTTTTTTTTTTTGCACAGATTTTTTTTGACCCTGGATATCAGTGTGGAGAACAGCTGAACACACGGCATTTGGTGCCACAGGTGTATCTACAGAGCCATGTGCTACATGACAGCACCTCTCTGGATGTGGCCTAGGAGTTCTTCCACCCAGGTGAGTGCCCTTACCCTTGCCATACCACCCTTTTCCCACTGAAATTGTGTCACTGTGCAGAAAAAGGTT